GATCCCCCAGACAGAAAGACCCCGTCCTTCGGTACTGGCTTGACCCTGCACCTCAACCCTGGAGCCAGAGTCTCTTGGAAGGCCCCACATAGTCCCTCCAGCCCCCTTCCAAGACAGGACACCTGCAGCATTCTTGATTGGAGCCTAATACTTTCCAACACCCCTTCCCTGGATCCTGTTCCCTGTAAGCAGATGCCCTGCAGAAGATGGACAGATTGCACAAAATATGCTAGGGTCTACTTTATGTCCCTCTGACTGACCTCTGTTGGTGTCCCTCCTGCTACCTGGAGGGATCCACTGATGCAGATGCCTGCCCCAACTGTCTCTGAACTTGCTCAGCCCCTGGAAACTACTTTAGATGATCTCCAAGGCCAGACTTTTTTATGTTTTGAGTGGAGGGAGAAAGTTGACTCAGCAACTGTCCGCATGATTTTGAGCTGCTAAAATACATCAGTGACGTAACAGATGCTTGAAGTTATTAGAAGACTAAAAATGTTAACGAATTTTTTAAATTCATCAGTTTTATTCAATAATAGTATTTTAGATTTCCGTTGGTCACATGATGGAATTTTTCTTTATAATACCAGTTTTTGCTTAACCTCACTTCTATAATAAGATGTAAACCTCTTTATATTATTCAAGTTCTTACAGTTTGAGAGATTTGTGAACAGCCCTCAGGTTATGAGTCCTCTCTGTTAGCTAAACTTAATTGCTGATACAGTATGCTGTTTTCTGTTTTCAAAGCATGTCACTAAAGGGATCCAAACTATAAAGTAGTTCTCATCTAGATTTTAAAGCTGTGTATTTCAGAATTATTGAGTTATAAAACTGTTCTTATACAAATATTGCAACTAAATATATTAGACTTAACGCTGATGCTCTCTGAACCTGTGAAGAAAAAGTTACACATCATGGACTTTGTTACTGCCATTAATTACCTCTTTAAAATATCTTCTTAAATTCTAGTAGACAGAGACTTCTCTCAGAATAGTAAATAAATACTGTAAGATCTGTAGTTATGATCAGCATATTCTCTCTTAGATAAATTTGAAATAGAAAAGACGTAAACAAGTATAAAGACATATAAGTCTAAAAGGTTTAGGGATTCAAATAGTGCATTGATGCCACTTGCAGAAATTTTCAGAGACATTTTGTTGCTTGACACCACCACTTTATAGATTGTGCTGTAAAATGCAGTGGTGAAACTTTAATGTTTTTATAATTGTCATACTTGCTGGCCATGAGAATGTGAATCAGATTCCCAACTACAGGGGCCATAATTGACAAGGGTTCCAGCTCTGCACTCTGAAACTGATTGCCACCTATGCAGCAAAACCGTGCTACCCATGGAGGGCTCCCAGTCAGTGACTGAGCACAACAGGATACTTAGGCAGAGCTGTCCCTAGGAGATAAGAGATTCCTTGACAGATGACTCCCCAGAAGCCTTTTCAAACCTCCTTTAGGTATCATAGCAGTCTGGTGTCAAGGCTTCCTCCCAACCTTCTTTCCCTCTTCTCTCTCCTTCACTCAGGCAGCCATGCATGCACCGTGCTCTGACCAGCCCTCTCAGCCCTCCCCAGCTTCCTCCACATCCTCTCTCCCAGGCCATTTCCTTTAATAGAATCCTTATACATTTAATTCTGTTTTGCTGCCTGCTTCTCCAAGCACCCAGACTAACACACATGCAATCAATGGAACAGTTTCCAAATTTGTGTGTCTACATGGCTTTAAACCACACCATATTCCATATTTCTCTCTGATAGCTATTTTGCAGTATCTTGTAATTATATAAGGAACACATGTTCATTAGACAAAATACAGAAAGCATTTATGCCTTGCACTCTTTTGTGTCCATTTATGTTTCTGGTTCTGAGAATTCAATAATAGTGAAAAAGTACGTCGCAAAAATCTGTCCTACCCTGGCATTCCTGGGAACCACATTTAAAAGTCCATTCTCACAAGTTATTGGTAAGATAAACTCTGGTGCACCCATGAAAAATAAGTAGTTGTGTTTCTTCACATGGAAAGATTTCCAGGCTGGATTATTAAATTCATACACGTAAACACGGAGAACATCTGGCAGGATTCACACCCAAGTGCTCATTTTTCATTTTTTTTCTTTTTATTTCTCTCTGCTGTTTTAATAAGAAGGAGGAGGGGGATATTTCATTGCTATCCTAGGGTCAAACTTCTCCTGTGGGGTATTGATATGGAAGTGGATACTCCACCCTGGGTAATCCACTGATGATCTGGATAACATAGTTTGCTTTCTTATCAGTTAAGTCACAGAGTTGACAATTAACTAAAAATTTTGATCAGCATGCTCCTCACTATGACATAATACATCTCACAGGATAAAATGCTTTTCAGAAAGTTTTTTCCTACTTGGAAATGTGGTCATACTAGTACATATCAGACTATTGCTGGAAGCAGTTCTCTTATTGCCCTTTCTATGATAAATGAATATTTCCTCTAATAGCTCAGATTTATGCTATCAAAAAAAAATCAGTGTACTTTAGCCTGGTAAATTAAAATTCAGGGCTCTGGGGACCTAGATCTTTCTCTCACTACATGCAGGAGTTCAGACAAGCCCTCACTCAGACTTTCTCCAACAAAGTAGACTATGACTTCTAAGGTCCCCTTCAATCTTTTCATTCCATAATTCTAAACAACCATTTTTGCTTTTTGAGTTGGTGATAACAGCAGGTAGAGACTTGTGATAAAAATGTGCCCCTCTTTTTGACCCAGGGACTGGCTCCTCCAAACAGAAACACCTTCAAGCTTGTACTAACGTGTCAAGGGGTTTTATTGTAAGGATGCAAGAGACAATCTTATAGGCATCAAGAAAGAGAAACCAAAAGATTGCATTGGTTTAGAACAGGAAAGTAAAAACTAAGTCTATTGATGTAAGTTCTCATGTAGAGAAAATTTATGTAAGTTTCTCAATAGAGAAAATTCTATTCACATTTCTGTTACACTCTTAATTCTTCAGTTTCTCTAGTTAACCAGTTATATTATTAAATTTGGTTCATTAAAATTATTGAGAAAGTTTCACAGACTTTTCCCAGCAGTCAAGAAATCTATCGATCTATCCACCCATCCACCCATCTATCTATTGACTATGCCCCTTGATGTGCTCAGTCACTCATTTGCCACCTGCCTGGAGTGTGGGTGTTGAGAAGGTTGTCAGCCGATGGCTCACAGATGAATGGAGGTTTGTTCAAGGTGATGTCCAGTTCAAAGCTTAAATTTGTAAAATATTTGGGGAGAGAAAAACAATCTTAATGAGGAAAGTGAGAATTTTCATACACCTCTGGTCTAAACAGTCTGGAGCATAATTAACAATATGATCAAAAATTTTCCTTGATGGGCATCCTCCAGGGCCCAGTGACGCTACTTAAAAAGAATTTATCCCAAGGAACTAATGAAGGATGCAGAGATATTTAGCTATCAAGAAGTTTATTCAGTTATTCAGTACGTTCAGTTAAGAAACAGCCTAAATGTCCAACAGCATAAGGGTTTGTCGAGTGATGCATATCATGGAATACAACACTGTAAATGAGGGGGCACTGGCTTTATTGACATGAAAACAAATCTAAATAAAGAGCTGAGTGGAGGAGGCAGGTTATGAAAGGGTATGTATAATAGGCTCCTACTTTTATTTTTTTCAAATCATTATATAAATGCACAGAAAACATCTGGAGAATTATATGCCAAAAAACTGATAGTGATTAACTTTGTGTCTTGTTGAGTGGGGTTAGATAGAACTTTAATTCCATTCTGTTTGATTTTGTGTATTTATTGAATGCTTTATAGAGAATTCATGTTTACTGCGTTATTAAAAGATCAACAGAATTGTTTTTTAAAAAGAAATGTCTCCAGTTGTCTACAATTATGAAATTTGTTGATAAAATATTGCAAAGTTATTTTTTTTGTATTAAAGTATTCCAACTCTCAGATAATTCCCATTTCAGAGACAGAACTTCAACTTTCCCCTCCATGTGTTTGCATTTATCTCCTCTGACATGTATTTAGGTGAAGAAAGTGCTTAAGTGAAAAAAAGACATTTTTGGTACTCACACAAAGGCCACTCCCATACTTATCAAAACCCTCTCAATAAGGGCTAATTCCCATTTTCCATTTTTTCATAATAAATAATCAAAGAGTAGCCTGGTATATCTTTTATCATTTAATCAAATTGATAAATATGACTAATTTAAGTTTTCATGTAATATTCAGCATATAATTTCACTTAAATATTCAGTGTAAACATTGCTTCAATTTGTAAATTCATCTCCAAACTCTTCTTACATTGAGTTTTGCACTTAATTATTTTTTTTACCCAAGTGTTTTTCATCCATTTCCATGGAGAATTCCATTTCCAACTCTCCTCCCCCAAAGAATTCCTAGTGTATTGAAGAGGTAACAAAGGCTACCAATGCCTTTAATGGCTTTTCCAAGGATTGTTGAGTTTGGATGCTTTGCCAAACACCTATCTGGCCTTCCTTATGGGCAAAGAGGTTCAACTTTCATAATCAGGATCATACAATGAGTATTTTATTGATGCCCTTGTGTAGGTCAACCTAGTGGATTCCTTTAACTCTACTGCCCTGGGTAGCAACACAGGCCAAGTTAAGCTTTCAGGAGGAGTGGAGTGCATGCAACATCACTATCATTAGCCCGATTTCTCCACCAACCTCTGGCTTACCCATGCACCTCCTGTCCCAATGACTACAGAGTAAAATTAAATCGCTTGTTTAATTATTTTGTGTGACTACAACATGTACCTTCTCTTTGAGAACAACACGTATTTTCTCTTTGAGAAACAGGGATGACGGTGAATCTAAAGGAGAAATTACTCTTAAGCTTTCAGATTGTTCCACTACCTCCATGCATAGTGGGTGGACAGGTGGCCTCAGTCCCCCTCCCCATGTGCAGAGCTGGTGTGTGGCAGTGGTGCCATAGCAGTCTGAGGACCAGCCATGGAGTCCCAGCCCTCCGACCACGGCCCCACAGCACTGCTGTAAGCACCAGCAATCAGCAGAGGGAACATTCTCTGAATTTTAAAAATCAAGATGCCAGGATGGCCTGAGAAGTGAGGTGAGCACCACACGTATCTTGCTGTGGGTATAAAATACTTGAGGGTTGATCAACTAATAGGTGCCTAAGTCATAATGAGATAAACAAGCTCACTGTTTCCGGTGCTGCTTAGAGGGTATTCATAAACGTCATCATAATCATGAACTCAGAGCATCTCCACCATGGCACAGTAACCAGAAAACAAAGGTCCAGACATCATCTGTCTGCCTCTCCTTTTTATTTATTTATCATTATTATTATTTTAGTTTTTAAAGTTTCTAGCTAAAAACAGAGCAGAAAGTCTTCTTTGTTAAAAAAAAAAATACACATTATAATTTTCCATATCCCACTTCTCCAGTCTCTTTTCATCACCAAAATCCTTCTGCAGACAATAAACACATAAAGGTCTTTTAAACATTCATTCTTGCTTTCCTCCTTAAGAAGCATTACATTTTCAATAACATTTGAAAATATCAACTAACATTTTGACAGAAGTCAAACGTAAAAAAAAAAAATTGTAAAAAAAAACAGGTGTTGTGTTTGAAGTACGACATTTATGTTGCAATGCACATATTAGGTCAAATTGTGAAAAGCACGTTTTTCCCCCGTGGGGATCTTACACCGGCCACTCTGAATGCCATCAGCTTTTCCCACCAGCTTCAGTCCACCTTCCATATTAAAGGGCAAACTTACCGCTATGGCTTGCTGTGGCTTACAGAGAAAAATGGAAGCATATCATGAAGAAAACTGCTGCAGGATGTGTCTAAAGAGTGCTGCAGTGAGCTGCGAAGGTGAGGGGCGCATGGCCCTACCTGGGCTGTCCCGGGATTCCCAGCCTCATCCCGGAGGGAAGTCTCCGTCTTGGAAATCAGTGAGCTCACACTCTTGTCGGGTTTGTTCTCTTTGGGGCACTCCTAGCTTTAACGTTCTTCTTGGGGCTGGCTGGCTTGGGAGCAGGCGGCTTTCCCTTTGGTTTGGGGGGATTACTGCGGCTGGTGCGCCCGGCTGTTGGCTTCTTGTCCTGAGCTGTTCTCCGCTGCTCCCGCAGCCTCTCTTCCCACTGCTGGGAGGCAATGTGTGACACCACTGTCAAACCCACCTCACCTTGAGTACTATGAAACTAACATCGGAAGTCATCGGAGCGATTTTTTCTGTCAGTGCAATTTTTTCACTGTTACATACTACTAATAAGAGCAATTATAATAGCTACCCTGTGTTGAGCTCTTACCATGCACAGGATGACTTAGAAAGTGCTGCATACGTGTCAAAGTCTTGGCCTGCATGCTTTTCACTGAAGCTCACAACAGTCCTTCTAGGCAGGCTCTGTTGTCACAATCAGGAAACAAGCATGCAGGGCTATTTGCAGAAGGCCTCAGAGCTGGTAAATGTCACAGCCAGGATTCAAATTCACCCACTCTGACTCCAGAGCTCAAGGCCCTCCCTATGCAGTTTTTACCACTGGCCCTATAATATAATATTCCTACACAGCAAAGCCTTCTAAGAAAGCTCTGACAGGCTAAACGCAGAATTTACCCAGCCTCACTGTAAAGTCAGGGGTTTCTTACCTCACTCACATGTTCACCTAATTCTTCCATTTCCAAAGGAAGACAGGGGCCCACCTACATCTAGTAATCCATTAAGGTGTTAGCTACCCAGAATCACTGGGAAATGAGTCATTCTGGATAATCAAGTTTCCTTGACTGCAAAGGATTTATTCTTTAAATTGCTCATGTAAGAAACAAAAGAAAAAGTGAGTCCACTTGAATAGATACTGCTTTCTGTTACAACACATGTCCCTGCTTAGAGTCTATGTCACTCAGCAAAAAGTCCGAGCACAACTGTAGTCCAGGCATTGTTCCAGGCACTGGAAATGCAATGAAAAGAAAGCCACTGCCCCACTCTCCTAGGCCACAATTCTAGTCTGCTCTAAAATAATAAACTCATTTCTGTTTGTTGCTATCATATGGTGATATTTTCACATTCTTACTGAAGTGTATTGGAATACTTGCTCTGCCAGAGTGAATGATCCAAAGAGCTGTGATTTTCGAAAGCTTCCTTTTCTCTCAGCAATCTCAGGTCCTTATGGTCAACTTGTTTCGCCATTGATGCTGCTAATCTACTGCAGTCTTGGAAAACAAATAACCAATCCTGCCGGAATTTTCTGTATTGCAAAGCTAAGCATGATCCTGAGCAACTCATGAGTCTTTGAGCATGAGTTTTTGGCTCGTATGTAACACTGTAGTGTTTGGTTCTGTTATTCAGAAAGACAGTGAGTAGGAGAGGCTGTGTTGTAACTACATTCTCCATACGCCAGTGTTTAATATATACTCTTCTCTTGCCCAAGAATTTTTATTCGTGCAAACTAAGAGAGCACAGACAGTAGTGGTACCTTTTGTGAACCTGAAAACACAAATCCTCCTGAATGTATCTGATCATGTTTTCAGGAGAAGGGATGCTTTAATATTTCAAACTAACCACCTGATGGCTTTAATCCTGGTGTGATTTCACATCCCTGGGCAAAAAACTATTCTAACTCTTCTAATTAAATTACCAATATGTCTATGATGTTTTCACTACAATTATGGATTTGGACACAAAGTCATTACTTTTTGTATATGACTTCTTGACAAAAGTCTTAAAATTATTGTAAATAAAAGAAAGATTCTGCTATGTATAGTGATGGTATGAGTTTTAGAACTAGGTATTCACACCCCTACAAATATATTAGTAGGTTGATTTTAATGACAGTGGATATTAACTCTGCTCGAACGTCTTACTGCTTGTTAAAACAACTAAATGCAATACAATAAAGAAACAAATTTTTTTTTCTATCTGGCAGTAGCCAGTACATTAGTACTGAACACAACTAAATTACCTTTGAAATTGAGTGGGAGTTTTCTAGTAAAAATTCCAAGTGAGAAGAGCTATATTCTTGAAAACCTATTCAAAAGTCAAATACCGTTGCTATTCCTGGCTCTGAGAGAGCTTGGAGATGAGAAAATGTGAAAACTTCCCAAATTCTATAAAATTTCTTTACACACATTATATCCACATTCAGTGTTGTGAGTTGTACTTACTATGGATCGTTTACTAAGCTGATCTCTCCATTTTTCAACTAAGCAATTTTCAAGAAGCATCATCCTGAAAAAAAAAAGTCTTTTATAAGCAGTTTTTGATCAGAAAAGCATAAAGTTAAAAAATACAGAAAATTGTAAAAAAATAGTTCTCCAAAAACCCTTATCCCTGTAATCCACATATCCACCATTTATGTTTTATTGGTATTTTGTTTCATTCTTCCTTCTACATATATATATATATATATATATTTAGATCACACTGTATATTTAGATCATACTGTACATTTTCTTTTTTCATTATATGATACACATTTTCTCATATAGTTAAAATAAACAAAAAATATAACTTTAAGAGCCATATAATATTACATCTATGAATATCCGTAATATATTTAGCCATTTCTTTACTGTTGAACCTCTCCCTTTTGCTTAGCTATCATTACCAGTGTTGCATTGAATATCCTTGTATGTAGTTGGGTGCTTGGCCTATTATTTCCTTAGGACAAATTTCTAAAATTAGAATTACTGGGTCAAGGGGTACGTGCTTTTCTTCAAAGGTTTTCAATACATAGTGCCAAGTTGTTTTCAAAACGGTTGTATTTTAATTCAATTCTATAACACGAAATTTGGTAAAACTGAACTCTTGTTTTTATTTGAATTTGAGAATTAAGGAGGTATGTTTTTTAAATGTTCACTATTTGCATTTCTTCTTCTGAAACATATCTCTGTAGATTTATATATATATACATATTTCCATATTGTGGTCTCGATGTTTTAAATGCTAATTTGCATGAACTCTTTATAGAGTAAGGTTACTATTCCTTTGTCATATCTGCTGCAAGTATTTTCATCAAGTTTTAGTTTCCTAGAATACTTTTGTGATTTTTATGTATACAACATTATGTGGTCAAATATGTGTATTGATATTTTACCTTGTAATTTCTTATATTATTTTTATATTTACAAAGTACTTTGCCTTTCAGATATCACATATTTTGTCATCTAATTGGATGTTCTCTGATTGAATTTTTAAAATATTTATCTTTTTAATCCATTTGAATTTTATAGTGCATCATAAATTGAAAAAGTACCATTTTTTCCAAATAAAAATATTTGCAACATTTACTAAATAAAACCTTCATTTCCTATTGATTTGCCATATTTCCTTCCTAATAAAAAGATCTTCTATGCATTAGAATCCATTTCAAGAATTTCTCCTCTGTTTTACTCATCTGTTCATCTACTCTTGCACCACATGGTTTTCAACAGTATTTAAACCAGTTTTGTGGGTCTTAAAAGGCAGATTTCCTCTCATCACTTATTTTCAAAATCTCCTTTACATGCCCTTACCAGTTCATTTTTGCAAATGATCATTCATACCATTTATGAAGACATAAATCCCAATCATCCAAAAATATTTTTACTGGGATAGATTTATAATCCATTCACCTGTCCAGATAGAATCTAATGACTGGCAACCTGGTACGTCCCCACTGAATCTAGCACTGCACAGATGCCAACACCACACAAGAGACCAGCCCAGAAACATCAACTGCTTCTTGAGAGAGACAAGATATAAGTAGAACGATGGCTTTTAAGGCGAGAATGCAAAGCGGTGCGCACGGTGTGAGGAGGATACCCAGGTACTGATAGAATACAGATCAGGAAATTATTCACGTGAGGTCAGTTTCAAAAGATGCTTTTGTTTTCTTTTTGAAGGAATAGAGTCTTGGGCTGTATCAAGAGGAAACAGATGAGCATGAATGGCAGAGAATTAAAGGGATGACTTGTGATGTAAAAATGAGTCATTTTGCTGGAGAAGTATTTTGCAGCCAAGTTACGGGGCCTTCCTGGAACCTGAGATGAAGAGCTGGACTTTACATTATAAGGAATTTACTGAGATATAAAAAGATGAAAGGGGAGAGGTGCGGGGAGACAAACGCTCCCAGCTAAAGGTGTGCATACATGTATGTGTATGAGACATAAACTTATTTGTTTATACTTTGCTTTATCATAATCTGAATGGAGAATCACATGTTCTTAGATTCAGAAGTCAAAGTCTGTGTGTGTGCATGCAATGCTCTACCAAACAAAGACTGTGAAGTATATATAAGGAAAATCCTGGAAACCATAGTCTCAAATGGCTACTTACTTGATCTGCAAGTTATCAAAGAAGTCTTTAAAAATCCAGCATTCACCACACTGAAGATCACGTGAATGATTTGAAAAGAACTGTTCTTACTCGAAGTAATTTATTTGCCTATAAGTTTTTGAAATCACTTAATAAACTCCAAAATTGATTTTTAAAGATTCCATTAAAATACTCGTATTTCTATTTTTCCTTCATTCTGTGAGGAATTAATTGATATTTAGGAGATATAATATCCCAACGGAGGCATCTATTGAAACTACTATTTTAAAAAGAGCTATGGGCACCTCCTTGCTGGTTTGTTTGTTTTTTTTTTTTTTTTAAACCACAACTACCGGGTGCGACTCCTGTTTTTGCTAGCCGTGTGCAGCTCCTTCTGCAACTCGGTGCCTACCTGGAGCGCCACTCATAACACATGATGAGGACATCCTGATGGGGCAGGGTGTGTGGACACTGGCAGGAGGAGTTGGTAATGAGCGGGACTTGAGTGCGAGGGATGGGTGAGGAAGACTTGAAGATCTCTTTTACGTCCACCACTGTCGTTACTTCATTACAACCACTCCTCTGCACAGCTTTTATTTTGGCATGAATAACTGCAATTTAAAAAGAGATGTAAGTGTTGTTGAAGGCTTTGGGTAAAAACTAGGGATGATGTCTTCATGCCAACTCCTGAGCCTCTCTGGAAGAATCAGTCCTGTAATTATGGTCATGTCCAAGCAACCCAAACGCAGGCAAAAAGCCCACAGTCATATGCTAAATGCAAGACGTCCTATATTGTCCACATTATCTCAAAGGTTCTGAATCAGACTGAAAGACGGAAAAGCGATCTTTAGTCTGAGCTCTGCCTCTAGGTCAGCAAAAATTTCACAGAAATATCTTTATTTGTTTATATTTTTCCTTGTGATGATTTGAAGTGAAGATCACTATATCCTCAGGTTTAGAAGTCTCATTAAAGTTTGTATTACTTCAATTACCCATCTCACGTCTGAACTTCTGTTTTGCACAAAAAGTTAGAGTCATAACATTTTAAACTGGAAGGCAGCTCTGA